TTTCGATGTCTTCGACCAAAAGTGTGGTCTTCTCGGCCAACGTGTAGTCCAGGAGTCGGTGCCACCGCTTACAGACTGCCTGTGCTCTCAATTTGGTCCGGAAGTCCAGGCGATTGAATATTTTGACCAATAATTCGTTCGGCAATTCATTGATCTTCGAGTCCGCCATCGAGTCATTCATTTTGGGATTTAATTTGAATACAGAGACCAGTGTTTGGATAACAAGTGATAGCATTTGAGTTATGGACTTAAATGATAGCATAAATTGTTTAGAGTTTACACTCAAATAGATTAAAATCTGGGCTCAAGTCTAGTGAGAGGTTAAGATTATTAGGAATTTTTTGGTGCAAAATAAGTTTTGGAAAAGTGTACACTTTAATGCAAACTTATTTCAATACAATGTATGTCTACGTGAATATGTTTTATTTCAGTAAAATTATTTGCCTCAAATACTTTTTAGTAGTTTTAGTAAAATATGAGATTACTTTTAAATATTAGTAAAAAAGTAAATGTATGCCAGTGGACAGGGAGTCAGATATTTATATCTAATATTTAATTAAGAAAGTTAAATTCATGATCTCTTATTCATTAGTATTTAACCTCTGCCTCCCTGTCCACTCACATAAATCTACTTGTTTACTAATATTTAAAAATAATCTCATATCGAAAGGGATTCAAATGATTGATAGAAATTATTTGAGGATTAGATTTTCATTTTAAAGTTAACCCATAGTCTAAACATTTGCACAGCTGTTTAATAAACTATAATCTCAAAATTATATGATAATTATATAAAATTAATTCTTATATCATTGAAACCTAAATATTTTATAATTATTAACCACTTTCAGCCATAAATTAATGAAATGTAAAATGAATGGTATTAAACACTTACCAATTATAATGAACGCCATATAATACATGTATACAGTAGTGAGTGACTCACCCTCATCAAATGATCAATATATCCAAATAACCATAAAGTCTTAATCAAAGGACACCATTGCATAAAAGGTTGGGTAATATTCATTACAAAATAACAAAAATTTACAAAAAAGTCAAATAATTTTATTACTTCCTAAAAATAGTCAGTTTGTATGAAAACATATATTAGAATAACTAATTAAATAACAATTACTTACTTATTAATTAATAATTATTGTTAATAAGCCTTATAAACATTAATAAATACGGTACCAAAATAATAG